ATTTTTTTTTAACACTTTGCTCAGGATTGGGATTGTCACAGGTGCCATTCGGTAAAGTACAATGTTTTTACAAGCTTTTAGGGTATATTTTATTTCATTATCAGATGGCGGTAAAAATTTACAGTGGGCTCTTGGGCTATTATGATTTGATTATGTATGCGCCAGGGATACAAATCCGAGTTGCGCAATGTATAAACTGGAACATTGAGATCAAAAGTGCCGACGCAGAGTGAGCGAACTGATTCTTTTAAGCTATAAACTGTGACATATGTATGTTTGCACATATACACACAGTCTAAAACTCATAAAACAACTAAACAGCTTGGCGAAGTAAGACAAACTAACTCGCAGACACTTGCAGAGGAAAAATGTTGCAACATCTTCGCGCGCGTATATGTATAGTTCGGATTGCAGAATTCAAGGTGTTCAGATTATGGATATCATTTTACGCAATTGGAGCGTTCGGATTAAGGGAATTAAGGGGGGTTCGGACTATCCATACATTACTTACGTAATTTGTTTTATAAGGTTTAATGTTCCTATGATCAAAGCCATCTTTATTTTTTTCTAAGACTTGTTCTAATTTCTTCTTTAGTGTAGACCAGTTAATATCTACCGTTTCGTCACGAAAACTAATTATTTTGCAATTTTCCTCTACTAGGAAAGGATTAAACAATTATATATCAAAAAGAGTAGGTCCTAGCACCGTCCTTTGTGGTACTCCAAATGTAACAGTTTTTTCTTGACTGAAAATGTCACCTATTTTTAACTTTTGCTTTTTATTTCTTAAATAACTTTAGAAAAGGTTCATGTGGAGTACCTCTAATACTTATATCATATTTTAATATATTTATAAGGATGTTATGATTAATGGTGTCAAAGGCCGTTGCTAAATTTATGAATACACCAAAAGATGGCATAGTTTTGTCACTTATATAAATACTCTTAGTTAAAACTTTAATGGCATCTTGAGTGGACATGTTTGGCCTAAATCCGTATTGTGCTGCTGATAGTAATTTGTGTTTTTCTAAGAAATTGTGCAGTCCTACCTTATTTCCTGACTCATTAAAAATTACAAAAATATATTTAAGGATATAAATATTATTTTATAATTCATTTTTTTTTCTTGACTGAAAATGTCACCTATTTTTAACTTTTGCTTTTTATTTCTTAAATAACTTTAGAAAAAGTTCATGTGGAGTACCTCTAATACCTATATCATATTTTAATGTATTTATAAGGATGTTATGATCAATGGTGTCAAAGGCCGTTGCTAAATCTATGAATACACCAAAAGATGGCATAGTTTTGTCATTAATATAAATACTCTTAGTTAAAACTTTAATGGCATCTTGAGTGGAAATGTTTGGCCTAAATCCGTATTGTGCTGCTGATAGTAATTTGTGTTTTTCTAAGAAATTGTGCAGTCCTACCTTATTTCCTGACTCATTAAAAATTACAAAAATATATTTAAGGAAATAAATATTATTTTATAATTTATTCATAATATTGGAAAAGGAAATACAGATAAAAATAGCAAGAAAAATTAAAGAACCAGGAAAACCGGTAAACATTAAAAACTGAATTACAGTAATTAACTCTTTAAATTTGTATAAAATATATACATTGATATTTATGGTAAGGTGTGAAGGTTGTTAATAATCAGCAGGTAAAATCTAAGATTGTTCTCGTGCTAGAGAAACCTCGCAGTAACTTCCTTCCTGCACAAACAATGTGAGCAGTATTTATGTACATATAATTTAATACTAAATTTATATCAACATATAGAGGAAGTTAGGGATAACACCGGCATAATTTTAACAGGCGATTAAGCAAACAAAATAGAATAACAGAAATGGTCGATAATTCGCAAAAATTAAGTGAGAAGGCAATCCTAACCAATTGAACCTTTCTTTTGTTCTTAGACGTATAATATTAGTGAAAGTGTAAATATACTAATTAAAATTCATGTAAATTTTTCTAATTTCTTTAAAGTTGTCAAACAAGCAATGTTTTTAAGTTACACTGTGAGTCTAGCTTTAACCATAGAGTGCAGGTTGTTTTAAAAAGCACACGTAAATTATATTATCCTTTATAATAATAAATAGAAAACAATATGTGCCATAATTGTGAATATAACCGAAAAGTGATTTCAAAACTTACATAATTTTAATAAATTTTAGTATATTTAATAAAACAATCTAGATTGCATAATATTTGACTCAAATTTGAAGGTATAATCATTGTTTATTTAAAATATTAATTAAGTATGAGGTATTAATTTAATTATTAAAATTAAAAGAAGTCTAGAAAATATAATTTAGATTTTAACTTTATAAAATAAAACGTGAAAACTATTGCCTTTCTTTTTGTTATACAAATTTGCAAGAATAACAGATAAAAAGTGATCTAAAAAAGGGTTCTAAAGTAGGCCATGACCGACAGTGACAGTCAAGTCAGTGATAACTCCAAATATTCACTAAGCTTGTATTCTCAATTCTTTTATTACTCCTGGAGACGTCTCTGTAGCTGACTTCTTGTCCACTTATCATTGGCTATCCATACGCGGCAACCACCTTCATTGGTTAGCGACACAGGCGATATGCCCACCTTCATTGGTTAGCGACACAGGCGATATGCACTTCCTAATTGATCAACGTCAAGCGTCACTCTCAAGCTAGTTGAGTAACTTCTCTCCGGGAAGATCATCAAAAACCGTTACACACAACACATACCAAAAGAATGGCTTAGGTAACTAATTTCCTAGGAAAATTCTGTAAATAATATAAAAAGTATGTAGTGAGTGCACGACGCAATAAAAATAAAATAGTTCCAGTAGTGTTTAAAATAATGTGTGTAATTAGAAGGGGATGTTTTTATCCAAGTACTCGTCCTCCTAGACCTATGGATCGCACAGGTAGTTCTAGCAATATTATTTAATAGAGTTCATTTTTGCTAAGGTTAGAAGCCTGTACTTCGGTTATACTGCGACATTCATATTTAAAAAGCTAAATTTGTAGAAGTAGTACAAAAAGCATTTAACAGTTTTAAAAGTTTTTCTAATTTTGACATATAAGATGACATTTTCTGTAATCATAGCAAGTGTCAAAATGATCTAATCTATGTAACTAGTTGCCCTTACCTATATGCATTTATCTCATTCCTATTGAATGTGTAGTACTCCAGAATCCAAGGAGCATATCAAATAGAATAGGGAGATTTACCTAACTTGAAGCCACTTGAAATCCTACACTTCCTTGAGAAGATAGGATTGGAAGGGTAGTTATTGGCGTCGAGACATTTCCTTGCTGCATTAGCGACAGAAGGGACACACTAGATCGTTTAGGTTGCAGTGTATTAATCCCCTATTTCCAACTATGAAGACTAGCGATAAGGAGGCGAATCGGCATATTCAAAATAGGGTCCCAAAAAACGCATTCTAATTGAGCTTCTATAATTAACCGCAGGGGCGCTGGTACTGCATACGGTGTTCAAAATACATGGTTTCTTAAGGGAATTATACATAATTTTGTCAAAATAATAAAAATAAACTTGTTTATAGCTAAATAAAATACAGAATATACTGTTGTATTTATTTCTAAATAAGTCTTGCATGTTTTAATTGATAAATTATTTAATTTTATCCATATAAAATACAAATTAGGTATGTATGACCAAATTCGAAAAGGTTTCTTAAATGCTGAAATTTGATAAGTACAATTTTGTGGCAATTTTTTTTTTTAATTGAACCAGTATAAATAGTAACAGATTTTTTTATTGTTGTAATACAAGTATAAAGGGAGATTTGGGAATGTACATTTTACATAGTATTACCTCATCCTTTAAGTTCAGCTTTCCCCTTTTTATTTTGGTAACAATACCATCAGTAAAAATAGTTTCATAATATTTGATAATATTTGATATCTTCTAAAAAGTATAGAACAGCATCATATATAGAAAGTGCTTTATCGGCACTAGGAACGATATATATGCTGCTACTGTTCTAAACGTTTAGTATCCTATAAAAAACATTTAGAATAACTCAATTGGGGTCCAAAAAACATAACAGTATTAACCCATTATCTAACATTAAAACTCTATAAAAGATAAATTTTCTTTTCTAGTAAGTTAAATTTAATGCATGTTTATTGTTGTTTGTAAGTCAGCATCTATGACTGTAAAATTTTATATAATAGAAACTTGTAATAAAATAAACTACATTTCGTAAGATACATATTGTGACTAGTTTACAATAAATATTATATTTAGACATTAATACGTTATTTTATTTACATCAGAAGCTTTAAAAAGACATTGAAATTTGATTTTTATCCTGTTTTACAATCCGGAACGACGTAAATCTTACTTTAATGTTTTTTCTCACTCATGTTACTTGTACTCAGGTACCATTTTTCACATTATTTTGATTCTTTTCACCAATTTTTTTAAAAAATCTCTTCATTTTACATTGAGTTACATAGAAAATTGACACCGCTGTCATTGGACATGCCAACTACAGTCAATTTCGCAAACTTTATAAAAAGAAGGACGGAAATTTGAAATTTGACCATTGCCGATTCGCCTCCTTCTCTCTAGTCTTTATATTTCCAACATAACATAAAATCAGGTGGGGAAAATGTGTTCTTTCACATTAATTAAGTTTTACTACGCTCACTGTGAAATATGCATCCTCCAGGGGCTTATAGCACCTGCCTCTTAACCCGTGAAAAACCTTCTGGATTTCGCTGAGAGGTTCCTAGGGATACCTAGATTCTTAGCTCGTAAATATCCTGCAAGTTAATAACGTCACCGAGAGGTGTCATTAATTTTACCCTTTTTAGAAGTGGTCACTTGATGGGCTTCAACTACCCCGTTGGTAAATGCCCAGGTCCAGCTATTCTCCCCGCCCGCTCCTCAGCGAGGTCATTTACCTATTTAACCAATTTACAAAACAAATAAAAATACTATATTTATATTGGTAATATTATATTTGCTAAAACATATCGCTTAATTTAAAACCAAAATTAACTTAATTTTCCATGTTTCTTTTTTAAGAAGCTTCAGGAAGATTTTCATAAAAAGGATATTCGGGATGTTCTGTTATCCTGCAAAAAAAATGTATTTTTTGAAATGTTACCATTCAAGATGCGGAAAAATCATTAATGAAATAATTTTTCTTAAAATTAAAACTGCATGTCCCAATTGATATGTTATATATGAAAAAAAAAAAATGGATTAAATTAAATTACAAATAAACAGTATTAATAAACAATATAGGAAAATAAAGACATTATCTCATACTTTTTAAAACTAAACCTATAATAAGACGAATTAAAGGAAAAATTAGTCAAACATTTTGTAAACTTTAGGAGATTTGGCCCTCTGTTTATTGATCGGCTTAGGTCGGTACGGGTGTGTACTGTAGTTATCTACCTAGAGATAAACTTCTTGTCCAGGAAGATCAAACACTAATGAACAGTCCAATATTAAAATTCACTAAGTTAGAGAAACGATGTACTTGCTTTTCGAAATTTAATACTACATGCTAGCAGTAGTAACAAATTGTGATTCTGGCTAGGCCAGAGGGGAAAAGATTAAGGAAAACGATATTTGCCTATGGAAGGCATGCCAGTGGTTCAACAATGAATTGCGAGCCTAATGAAAACAATGTGTACAGTGGAAGTTAAGAAGGCAACTCAGTGCACATTGGTCCTTTCGTTATTGTAGAATGGACTCGTCCAACAGGCGAGCGTATGACAATATCAAGCGAAAATTCGTTAAAAATTATTTGTAATTTTTTAGAGTGTTATAAGGCATTGAAAGAAATAATATGTGCTGAAATGTTGTCTACGTCACCAAGGTGTTATGTATGTTTTAAATGCGTAGGTTTAAGTATAGATGGCTATTGTATACAGGGCCGGTCTTCAAAATGTTTTGTTTAAATTGAAGTGTATATTATAAAATTAAAACACATTTAATATTATAGGAACAATTAATAGATTTACTTTTGCTTCATATTTTATTTGACCAATTCAAAAACGTTAAATATGTGGTACTGCTAATATTGTAATATTAACGAGGGGTAAACCCGAGGTGAACCACTCCCGAAATACTCGTAAATAAGGAAACAAAAAAACGTCATTTAAATATTTAAGTAGAAAGTTTATAGATAATTCATAGGAAATTACGTCGTTATCAGTCATGTATGAGTTTTTAAAAATTTCCGGGGCAGCAGCCCGGCTTAGATATCTACAGTCAAGCAAGCTCAGTTAGTAGTAAGATGGGTAAACGGCGTGAGTTCAAACTAACTGCTCGCTTAGTTCTATAGCATAGCGGACAGGAGTTATATCAATGAATATGAGGTAGAGCGTGGAGTGTGCCACCTTTCTGGAGGACAGGTAAAATCGTCGGTCCAGAGTCCATGGATATTTTGCCCGTTAAAGATCCTACCTCTGATTGGAACACCAGGAGATTTGGCTAAATTGGGAGTAGCATGCTCAATAGCATCGGTGTTTAAAATATCGTTGTTAAAAGTAGGCCTACGTTAAATAAATTATTAAAACATTATAATAATTTCTGAAATATGGGTCCCTTAGTGGTCAATTACAATAAGGTTTATCGGAGACCAAGTCAGACGAGCCCTGGAAAAAAAAACCTAGTTAGGTTTACCCCTCGGATAGAAATTGTCCTTTTCACAAGGAAAATGATAAAAATGGAATTAATACCTCCAGAGCTCCCAAATATAAAACTAAACTGCAACAGAGGCAAAATACCTAGGTCTCACCTTTGACAGCAAATTAACATGGAACTCACACTTAGAAAACAGAGTCAAACGAGCTTACAATGCTTATGAACACTGCTACCAAACCGTGATGCACACCTGGGGTTCCTCCTTCCCCCAGAGTCCTCACATGGACTAACACGGCCACCATAATTACTTTGCTAACATACGGTACAGTTGCCTCGGTACCGAAAATATTTATTGGGAAATTCAAGAAAATATGGGATAAAATAAGAAACTTTAGAATTGCTAGCTTTTAAGTTATCCTGACAACACTATAGTAATTAAAGGCTGATCATTATCAAGTACGGAAGAATCTCCATATCATGGGGCTGTTAAAATACGCACTCTGCAGAAGGTGCGAACAAGAAGATGAGACCATCGAGTATATCCTTTACGATTGCCCGACGCTCTTATTTATTAGAAGATTTCTGTTCGGCGAGTATCCGGTAACACAGGCCGATATCAGAGGAGCACCTCTTATCGACGTTGTCATCTACAATAAATCTATAGTCTGGCTGGCTTGGAGGTGTCTATCATCTTAGGAGGATCTACAATAGGTCTATGTAAGGCCTGAGTGCCGTAGGGTAACCCACCCTCCACACGTTACAGATACCTCTCGGATATTAGGTTAAGTAAATTGAAAAATAGGTAACTTATTAAAGATAACAATATATAAAAATAAAAAATCAGTGATAAATCCGTTATTCAACTTTTTACTGTGAAGGAAAAAGACAAAAATCTCCACAAAATAAAAAAAAATCTTAAGCATTAGAAACTTTACATTTTAAACTTTTACAGTGTTAATATTCCTACAGAATCCTAAAGACATGATTATTATTGCGAAAATTCAATGGCACATCTAAGGATAATTTTACCACTAACTTTACCAAGACTTCGACTGTCCATACAAAGTGGTTAGTTGGTTATTAACTGCCGTTCGTGTTAAAAATGCAGAAAAACACAGTTTGAAGAAGATTAAATAACCTTGAAGAGGTAGGCATCTAAAAGAGCTCGCAAAAAATCCTTTAGTCACTATTTAGACGTGAGGATCTGGGATCTTACTCGATTTTTGCTTAGTCGTAAAGCAGTAGCAAAAATACTACTCTTTGAAAATTTAAAATAAAGAAATGTAATCGTAAAAAGCATAATAAAAACTTACTTTTCTCCTAATCCTTCAAAAGTAAATATCTTTGCCGTTTTGCCTCTATCTAAACCTTCTAGAGCCTTCATATCGTCTTGATCTAATGTGAAATCAAATATATCGAAATTTTCTCTCAACCTTTTTGGATTTGTGCTTTTCGGGATAACCACCAAACCCAATTGCAGTAAGTATCTGATTGCAACTTGGGCATGTGACTTTCTGTGCTTTTCTGAGATAGTTTTGACGACTGGATCATTAAGAATATCCGGTAATTTCACGGGGCTAAAAATAAATATGTGTATTATAAGAAACATTATTTATTAATTTTATATTATTAGAATTTATCTACAGTTCTAGCAAGATCAGACCTTCACTTCTACTGTTCTTGTATTAGAGTGCATACTAAAGATAGATTCTTAGATGATTTTAAATTCCTTACCTTGCATTAATATCTTTAAAGAATATATTGAGTCCTGGTGCTCCTAAAGGCGAATAAGCAACCACGGTTATATTATTTTTTCTTGCAAAATCACGTAGTTCTTGTTGTTGAAAGTACAAATGCGTTTCAACTTGTAAATTAGCTGGTTGAATTCTTGCAACTTTTTGTACCCTTTCTATTTGGGATATATTAAAATTGGAGAGTCCAATAGTTCGAGTTCTACCGGCGTCTACTTGTTCTTCCATTTTCTAAAATTATTGTAACATACATTAATTCAACTGATGATTATCCTGTATAAAAATAATTAAATCTAAGAAAACGATGAAGTTAGTTTGTTTTTGTAATCCCAAATCCTAATCATAAAAAACGTATTTTTAAATTAAATTTTTAAATTAAAATAAAAATGTATCCTATACTTACTTTCCAAACAGAAATAAAGTCTGTAGGTTGGGGTTTACCTAGTAAATATTTTCCATTAACTACTGAAGCAACTGGAAAATGAATCAACCACAAATCAATATAATCCAATTGCAGTTTTTTTAATGAGGTTTTAATTGTTTCTTCAACTTTTTCGGGAAATTCATCGAAAACGGACAATTTCGTTGTAATGAAAAGGTCTTCTCTTTTAAGTTTTCCAGATGAAATCCATTCTTTTAAAACTTTTCCAATGATGTGTTCATTTTGGTAAATACTGGCGGTGTCAATGTGTCGATATCCAATTTTAAGAGCTTCGTTTACAGCTTTTGTCAGTTCTTGGTTGTCCGTCACCTACAATTTAAATCTTTTATTTATAAGTGTATGTTAGCAGGTACACAAATTTTGTGTGATTACTCATTGCAATATAATGTAAAGAACATTGGAAATCAAGTGGGGGGTGTGAAAAGTGATGGCAGTAGTAGCGAACTATCGACTGCACTCTCCCAGGCAGAACAAAATGATGGGTCGCCTTGAGTGATATAGTGAAATCAAGCTGTTAGTTGGTGCTCACGCATTGTTCTATTTCACTTAATTATTGAAAATCGTTATTATGTATGATTAAAAGCAATATTTGATGAAAGGTATAGAAACCAGTTTAATACATCACTTAACTTCTTTTTTTAATAAAGTGTATTCTAAACAAAGTCCTGCGCTTTTTCATAGGTGGTTTCATTATCCATCTTCAGTCCCTTGAAAATGTGTGCCAAAAATGTTTAACTAATTCTTTCTGAAGATATTTTTTCAATAATTCAGATGATTCCAAAGTAGATAATTAAGCAAAAAATACTGTCAAAATAAAAAAAAAACTTTCTCGACATGTTTTCGCATTTTACTATACCTACTTATTAATTAATTTAACTCAGACTCAGATAAATATTAAAATACTTACCGTAAATGTGCCTAGTCCTAATGCAGGAATTTTATATGGTCCATTATTTAAATATTCCATAGAATTTGTAAGAGTAATCACGTAAAACAAAAGAAACAATTTCACCATTTTATTTGTGTTTTGTGTAACAGTTACACCAATAAATGAACTATTTTTGCAACAAATCGAAACTATTTTAAATAATTTAACGTGATTATCGTGCAAATAAAGTAATTTTTTATTAGAAAAGTCAAAACCATTAAAAATAAAATAATTGAACATAAAAAGTCAATAAAACTGCTTGATATGATTTAATTGCATATGTACTATTTATGGGAATTAAAAAAGTAACCAACATTTCAGATTGTATACTAATGTAATAATATTAATAACTGCTCCTTCTTTAGCCTTGGCGCAACCAATAAATAGCAGAATATTGTTACGCAGCACCCTGTAGCGTGCTGCAGTCGTCATAAATAAAGGTACGAGTTAATGAAGAAGATAGAATATTCCCGAAATGTCTCGAAATGTCATTCCTTGTCAAAGAATAGTCCAGATTGTTCGAGAAGGGTCTAGAAGGTCGAGACAAGCTATATAAGTCGACGACCTGACGTCAGAGTTCAGTTTTATGATAGACGTTAAACGTTAATGTTATCAGTTGGAGTTATTGTATCAGTTGAATTGAGTTATTGTAAAGTTGAGTTAAAATAAATTGTGATACCAAAAGCCAGTGTAACAATATAATATGGAATCAGCAAATAAGAGAAACGCAAGAGTAGATGGTAAAATATATTTACAAAAAAATACAACTGTGGTAGTGCACGGCATCGGCACCGGCACGTTTGTAAACGGAAAATTAATAAAAATGAATTATTACAATTAACAACCATAGGAAAACAATATCGATTTCCCCTTGATACGGAAAATTAAATAAAATAAATTATTACAATTGAAAGCTAAATAAATTAATTATGGAAAATTAAATAAAAATAAATTATTACATTTGAAAAACTATAGGAAAATAATTGCGATTCCCCCTGTATACAGAAAATTAAATAAAATAAATTATTATAATTGAATGAGATTACAGAAAAATAATTACGGTTCCCTATATACAGAAAATACATAAAAATAAATTATTATAATTGAAAGACCATAGGAAAATAGTTGCGATTTCACCCTGTATACGAAAAATAAAAATAAATCATTACAGTTGAAAGCTAGTTAAATAATCATGGTTCCCTGTATATGGAAAATTTAATAAAAATAAATTATTAAAATTGAAAAACTATAGGGAAATAATTTCGGTTCGATAAGCACAGGAGGCTAGTCGGTCCGGAAATTATGAAGCTCTCTGTATACGGAAAATTAATTTTTAGTAATAAAAATTGATTAAATATGCCGGTAGTAAAATGCAAGAGAACGATTGAAATCAAAGTTATAAGAAAATGAATTTTAAATAAACTTAGTAATAAATATGACTAAAATTTCCACTAAATGAAAGTAAAGTAAGTATTACCTTTACTAGTACTGGAAAAATATTAAAGTCGGAAATTATTTACAATACAGTACATAAAAAGTATATTTTCCCAATAAACAAAATTAAATTGAAATTTTCTGGTCAAAATAATAAAAAAAACGGTAATTAATTAGAACGGAGTAATTAATTTTTAACTATATGGTTGACCAACAACAAAAAAAAAATAAAAGAAAACGGGTAGTTACGACACTCCCTATATTAGAAAAATTAAGTTTACTATGACTACAGTTAAACCATGTACAATGTAAGTCCAGTACAGGCAAACCCTACTATAAATTTGAATAAAGTTTTTGAAACCCCCCTATATCCTAGTTCTAACCCATCATCGGTGGCCGTCTCGTCAAGAGAGAATTATAATATCTACCACGGCGTTTGGACGAAATATGCGATGTCTAGAGTAATAATTATTTTGAGATTTGCCAAAGCCGATCAAAACGGTGTGTGAATTAGGAAAGATAGAAAACGTCGAGCTTCATTCAAAAATTATTTGGTGACGGAAAACGGAATGATTCAAATAAAATTAAATAAATAAATAAAAAATAAAGAAACCTAAATTAATTTAGGGGTGAAAATTAATTTAGACGTCTTTTTGAAAAATTAGATAACGTCGTCGAGATAGAAAGCACTCGCAACTCGAGGACGGATCGAACCTCCGAAAAAGAAAATAAATTGGGCGGCTTCCCAAAGATAATAAAAAAATGAAACCAGGTTGAACCTCTCACTCCAGTGTTAACTGGGCGCTTCTTAAAAGAGATTAGATAAAGTCGTCAAAATAGAGAGCACTCGCAGTCTAGCCTATATCCAATCTCAAATAAAAAATTGCCAACAGTTTCCCACTACTAAGGGATAAAATGAAAATACTGAGTATGAATCAAAATTCTTTCACTTATCGGACGGGTGTCCCAAATTAATTGTAAAAATAATAATAATCAGTTTCCTAACTTAGAAAATAATAAACGGGGATCGTTCACTATACTATCAATGGCACGGTCACTATATGAAGTCGTCACCGGTCGGGAACAATTATCAGTTGTCAGCTAATTTATACTTTTTCCCTAGGCAAGCTTGAAGGCCGGTAATCCGAAGTGGGAGATACCACAACTTCAGCTGACTGTTTACAATTTTAAAATAAAAATGTCCCACTAGTAGCTTGACAAATACAAGTAGATAATTGATACGAAATCGACTCTACAAATGCACATTCGGATTTTGGCAAATATAGAAATGTTTTAACCTACGAGGGTTCTCGCAATTGTTTAAAAACGGGAATTCCTGGGAAACACAAATACATGTCCTCAGGCGGGAATTAATTAAAATATACATTTTTAAAATTAATTAAAAGTAAAATTTAGTGACTTCGTCACAAAGTAGAACTTTTTCAAAAAATGATAATTGGCCGCCTAGATCCTACGATCTAAAGGTGCTAGACTTTTTTGCGGGTTTCAATCAAAAGTAAAGCATATAAGTATCCAACTCCCAAACAATTTAAGAATTACCAAATAAGATTCGATGCATTATTCATGAGATGGCAAAAGAGTTGTTCATGCAGTTTGCTCAATATTGTTAACGATTATGTGACCTATTTGGTTATAAACTATTTTTTGATTTGCGTTTTGTTTTATTTAATATAAATATCCAAACCACTTAATGGGGATGACCAATAGATTAGACAATATAAACTTGTAAAAATAGGTGAACTATTTGTATGTACCTATTCGTTGATATCAAGTCGACTTGTTGTTGACAATTGAAACACTAAATTGGCTACGCAAAAAAAAATAAAGCAGAATTTTAAAAATCTATTTAATTGTAACTTGTAACTAATAAACAAAATATACATGAATTAGGGAATCTCTCATCGAGATATTTTCTTACAACTGCAGCACTGTGGAGACCTGCGCCATCTTACTGAAACCATTAACAATTTCTACGAGTATCTAGGTTTAGGTTTTACCTCACTTTTCTTTAAAAAAAAATATGGCTCGTATGGTATCCTTAACTTGGAAATTTTATTGGCTGTTCAAGGGTATAAAAATCCATTATGGCGGCCATAAGAAATAACAAAGTTTGCTATGGTTACTCAAAATCTAGAAAGCCTGTAAATTTTTCTATAGCTCCAATCGATTGTACGTAGCTCATATTATAAATATCTAAATTTTCGTTAAATTTGCTTAAACGATGTAGACAATATTGTAAATTTCCTAAAATTACAAATTTTAATTATTACCCGATACTTTGGAAACCCCTGTAGATATTTTAGATTTTAAAGCAGATTCTTATTTGGCATAAAAAAGCGTAATTTTTCTCTGATTTAACCAACACTGTATATCTTACCGTTTAGGGTATCCCAATGGTATACACTGTAAGAGTGACCACCCTGTATACCCATCAGATGAAGTTTTATGTTAAGATTTTTAATTAATCTGGATTCAAAATTTATTCTGCAACAAAATAAAGTCCTTCTGTCTGCCAACACATCAACAGAAAGGTGTAAATATGAATCCGCACAGGAGATATCAATATAATGGAGCGGACACGATTGGGCAGTTTTCTGAATTAGCGGAGGCCATACACGTTATTCATTAAAGAAAAAAAAAACAATTCAAATATGTATGTATAAAAAAAATTAATAACTTTTTATTCCAGAAAAAAAAAACCTTTTTAAAAGTTGTTCTTTTTAATTTTCAGTAGTATTCGTATCTAATTATTTTCAGAAAACAATTTCCAGACAATTCTCCCTACTTAGTAAATACATTTAGCAAATGAAAATTGTTTTTTACTGGCTTACATCCATTGTTTGTCAGAAAATATTTTAACACTCAATTTTAATCAACAAAGGGTTTTTAGCAAACCTAAAAAACCCTCCTTTTTCAAGCTGTTCTTTATAATCCAGTAAAAAAGTAACGATATGTACCTAAGTAAAAATACACGATGGATAATTCTGCAAAGTAAAAAGCATTTACATTCAACACGCGAAGTAGATAGACGGGTCCCTATTACTTCTACGTGTTTTAATTAATTTTTGTCTGCAGTGGTTCGCTTGGACGTTTTTAATCTCCTCTACCGTTAACAATTTCGAATTTATGAATATTTACATTTGATTTTCTAGATGTATTAAAAATTGCTGTCGAGCGTGAAGAGTAATTCTTTTCTCTGCGCTCTGGTATAGTCTGGCCACAAGCAGTGACGTACCTGCGGGCTGGTCTTCACTCCTCCTACTTTACATTTCATAAAATTTTAACTATTGTATCAGTGTAATAGATATAAAAGACCAGATTTCTTGAGCAAATAACTTTGGAATCCTGCACAGACCTAAGAAGTATTCCTAAAGTTAAAGACAACCGATGAAGGGGTAGTCTATTATGCATAATATTATATTGATGAAGATGATGATGTTTTCATTTTAGGAAGAATATATTTGTATAATTTATGGCCAAGGAATGTGATAATCCTCACTATTTTTTCTTGCTTTTGGCTGGGAGAATGTTCTATAAGAATGACACAATTTGGTAAGTTTAATTTGTTTTTTTTTTTGAAAGTACGATGTATTAGAACAATAATGATACTAACAGAAAACTGATAGTCACTTTTTATTTCTTTCACTTATTTGCTGGTGACCTTATTCCCTAAACATTGCCTTCTAAAGTCTATTCCAATCCGAGATTCAGTAAATGTACACAAAAGCACGCGAATGTAATTTTTGACCAGGGACGCAATGAGGACAACATTTTATTGCAATGTAGTTTTAATGTATTTAAATTAACAGTTTTAGAGATATAAATTTTCAATACCTTAATACTGTCATGTTAAGCGTGTTTCAAGAACTTCAGTTTGCTTTCCGGTGACCAAAAACGTAAGCGATTGGTCTTTTGCATGCGAAATTTCGATGTGGGCTCCGGTTTCCTTCATGATATTGCCACATATATGGTTGGATTCGCCCTCGCCGAATTTCTGCACATCCATTTTACGCTCTTCAAATGGAACTATGAAAACTTGTGTGATTGTCGATGATCCAACTCTCATTTTATTATTGATACTTCCCCGTTGGCCCAAGGTGGAGTTGTTAAGTTGTTGAGGGGTGGATTTTGGTAGAGCTGGGAAAAGATCGTCATAACTTCTGACGGAGGGCTCATACGCCTCTCCTCCTTCCATCACTGGTTGCTGCATTTCGTTTATACACCTGATATGGCTAGTGGAGAGGTCTGTTACAGACTATGATAAAAGTATAGGTGCTGGCCCGAATTCATCATCCTCGCGTTTAGGGTAGGTGCCACGGTCCATCCAAAATCTTCGTTGTGTGGTATCGCCCGATACATGGAACAGAGAAAACAGAAAATGCCTACATATAAGAAAATAATTTATGACCCTAACGAATGACTGAATGACGAGCAAATTTTTTATGAGTGTACTAAGTGGTAACGAGTTTGTTAATAAAATCTTTTAATTATCAAGTCATCAACAATTACAAGTTTTTTCAAGGCTCAACAATAGGATGGAAGATACACAGGGTCAAGTCAGTTAAAGAAGCATTGGTACTGTACACAATAGGGGAGAGTGACGCAGTTAACTTGGAACTGCCCAAAGCGAGAGAGAACCGGGATAAAAAACAACTGGAAAATGTTGAAGAGGTCATGTTGAAGAGCAAAACCACAAAATTTGAAGAGTCGAAATTAACTGCAGGGTAAATTTGGAAGCTGTATAGAGCTGTATAGATAAAAAAGGCCAGTAACATCATTCTATAAAATATATGAGGAATAAAAGTCGGAATAACAGTTGAATGTATCTAGTATGTTTAAACTCATTGCCACTAAATGGAATGGAAGGTTATATATAGAGCGCAATAATAATAATAATAATAATAATAATAATAATAATAATAATAATAAACTTTATTTGCAACTTCCAGTTTTTTATACATATAAAAATATTCAGAAAAAAAAGTGCCAAAGAAGGCTGCAAAAAGGACTGGTGAACAGTGGATACTGATCAAAGCACCAGCCCTGAGTATTACCAACGCCACAGGACATCGTACAAAAAACAATATAAAAATAAACACAAATGATAGTGAGAAAAAAAAGTATAAACATTCTAAAAAGTAGCTATCACTCTGCTGTGTCAAGAAGAAACTTTTTGTAAAATTTTTTAAATTTACTTACAGACATTTCTTTAAAATGTTGTGGGATAACCTTGTACATAGCATAAATATTATAAGTGAAAGACCGTCTGAAAATAGCAGTATTATGTATTGGAGGTGAGATACGACCACAAAAACGTAGATTGAGGTTATGAACATCAGAACGATACATTATTTTATTAAAAAGATATGGAGGGGATTTATGTAAAATAACAGAATGAAACAAATTAGCCGAGTGTAAGTTTCGTCTGGATTGCATATCTAGCCAGTTTGAATCCTTGAGTTTATGAGGGTCACAGATAAGTATATACTGTAATGTTAATTTCAAATATGTTTATTTTTACGTAACTGTCATTTTGACATGAGCTACTCGTTGTATTGTCAATGGTAATGTAAATTTATTTTAAACCCTACGTTGAATATGATGAATTTAGTTTAATTTTTACTTTATATCTGGCTAGCTTGATTTATTGTTGATGAAATATCATTATTAGATATGCTTTATTATATCTTTTATATTATATACTTGATAATAAATAATTTACTATTATATATGTTTACCTTTCATTTCAACTCTTACCTCAGAATTAGTAGCAGGTTCATTTACTTTTTCAGTAACCCTCGTAACAGAACATTGAAATTGCTAATATATAAAGTAATTTAGCATATCGATTATTACAGATAGAGAAAGGTAGACAACACACAATACTTTATTGTAAATGGAAAAAATATTAACAGTATTAACAATATCTACGATTCCTATGGGAAAATAGATTAAATATATGTCTAATTCATTCATACTCAACACTCATACTTGCCTAGGATGACTATAAAACTTAAAATTAATGACAAAATTTAAAAAAAAAAATTAATTTGGCAATATGTAAATGTCAAAAATGTATTTGCAATCACAGGTCATTGCCATGATTGTGAACCTCCAAATATTTTGGCTTTTTATGATTGTACGAATGGAATACAACTTATTAAAAGTAAAGAATAATGCCAATAATTAAACTGGTAAGTAATTTAACTAATTAATTTGGTACCTTTTAAGTAGAAGTTCAAACTCACAGTTATAAATCACTTTGTTGTTCTTTTTTGTAGGTTAAAAATCCATGATCCTGGAATTATTCTTGAGATTAACTTAAGGGATTTCAAGAATATCTAAAACTGTTTCAAAAGACACCTCCAATCGTCCAATTCTCCGGCTTGTCTTCATGACGTCACAGGTATGTTATAATTTTCACTTTTATTATGTAAATTTTACATTTTTGAAACTTTATTCTAGGTTCTATATTAATATTCACTATTACTATAATAATTTTAAATTGTACTACCTTGCTGTAATAAGTTTTACATTAATATTCCTTTCTTTATAGAGAAATGAAATTTGCATGGCATCTTTAACAGAATTTTTCTGCCAAACTCCTCTATACTAGCTTTTGTTTTATCAACAGAAACAAAAGAAAAATTGGATACAACGGCTTGAAATTATGTTAAACCAATCATAACAAAAGTCTTCTGGTTCTTTTATATTTAATTGATTCTCTTTTAATGGGAAGTGAGTTTATTTTAAATATTCATTAAATAATTTTTCGAACAATTTCTTTTAAATTTTGACAACAGTTATTTTCATGTCTGTGTTGTCAATTTTAAGTAATTTGAATTTTTATGTCACATAATTTTAGGTTGGTACCTTGTTAGTTTATTTTTTTAAGATTTAACAACCTTTTTGATATACAGGGTGTTAAAATTTTATCATCCAATTTTTTTTTTAATTTTGTGTTGAATCTGTATTTATTTATTATAATTAATTACATTTTTAGATTATGATGATGTTCATATGCCAAGGATTACTGGAATATTGTCTGCTGTTAATATTTTGTTGCCTGAAATGAAATTATAGCACCCTTTTGTTGGATTTACTTTAAAATATAAGGTCAGTTTCCTTTTTCTTTACATATATAACAATAGATTTATTTATTATATTGGCTTCGCTATAGCCTTAATAAATATTTTAAAGTTTTCGAGAGATAATTGTGTGTCATGGTTTCATTGTATCATGCTCACATTTTCCTTACATTACAATACATTTAAAATGTGTAGGAAATAGGGTCAAATTAAAAGATTATAGACGCAAAAAGGGACAAGGGTATAAGCAGAGAAATGTAAAATATGTAAAGTATAATGTTTCAAAAGGGGACTAAATTTACCAAATCAAAGTTAAAGAAATGAAATTAAGTGTAGAAATTTTATATGCATTTTATGAATAAGAATTTATAAAAGGTAATTTGAGGTCAGATAGGGCATTCTCCGCCTGGCTAGGCCGCATATTGGTCGCGAGGGCTTAGAGCCTTTTTTTTGCATTTTGATTCGCGGTAATAATTAAGGGTTGTGACGTGTGTCCCAAATATTAATGGAGTTGGTAAGTTAATATTTTTTGTATCTTAATATTATATTGAGCCCCATATTTGTGTTTGTCTAGTTAGGACCTATTTTGTACAAATATTTTATTTATAATATTATACTTGTTTTGAGAACTCCTTCAGCCCTTTTACAGAGACGTGTTAGGTCTTATATCAAAAAGTAGAACCCTTGTACAGTCAAGGGCTACGAAGTTAATTCATAGTAATTTAGTGCTTGCACTATTCAGACCCTTGCCGTTTAACCCTCTGGGACATAGATAGTTCCATAATTATTAAAAACACGTAAATCGTGAAATTTTTTTATTAAAAATACGCTTAACGTGACAATACTAACGAAAATGGAAGAAAATATATTAAAAATATGCAAGGTGACACTTAGAGCGGTATTTATGAAGCCATCATACACATTTTTCTAATTTTAAACAAATATTTAAAAAAAGTTAGAACAGGTTGGAATAGCATTTTCAATCGTCGACGTGAAAAAAAAACAAATATTTATATTGAGTAAAGATTATTGTATTTACTGTTGCCATTCTAGTTCGTCAGAAGACGTGTCACTCTCATTCACATTTATTACAAATTGTTCAATTTGTTGCTCTATAATATTGTCTAATTTCCACATTTTTTGCTCCACTGTTTTCTGCACGTGATCAATGCATTTCTTCCACTTTTCTGACGTGATGGTAGCTATCGCATTATGTCAGCAAATTTAAATGTACTATTATTATGCTTCGCAACAAATTTTTTTATATCAGCCCAAATTAACTCAATGGGTTAAGCTCGAGGGTGATATGGTGGTAGCCTTAAAACAATTTTATTTTGAACTTTAGCCATTTCATCGATGATATATTTATCATATGTTTTTCTGTGCTCCTTAACTATTGCTAAAAGTTGCACTTTAAGTAATGTTTCATCAAATTGTATACTTTTAGAACGCAGCCAGTCTTGAATATCAGATTTCCTTGATGCAGTAGTTGGAATTTTTTCCAGTTTCCTAGAATAATACGGGGGCATTGTCTAATACAATAATACATTCAGTTTCGGCAAAATATTTTCAAACCATTTTTCAAAAGATCATCATTTTTCCTTTACCTAAAATCAAAAAGCATTTTTATGCTGCAGTATATACCCAGACAAATAAACCAGCTCAAGATGTCAGCCATCCTAATAATGCCGTGCAATGAAAAGCCTGAATATCAACTGTTTCAAATGTCCCGATACAATGTACTTTCATTTATTTTTAAAGTATTATTCAATCAGCCGGATAGATACCAAAATCGTAAAATATACATATACCGAAAGTAAATAATATAATACGACTATAATTTAGCTGATGGATTTTTTAATCCTGTTGAAAGTCCATCAAAAAATGCCCGTTTTGAGGAAGTGGCAGAATTATCAACCCATATTTAATATTTTTAATAATCTATACAATGTAGTGCGTTTAAAACTTGGCAGGTCCAGAGCGTCATTGATATCTTTAAGTACCTTATCAACAGTAGGGAGTTCGTTTTTAAAAAAAACATTGTTGCACTATTCTTCTGATTGCATTTCTATTAAAGTCATCCACCAAATCTACATTTTTTTTACGATTTTGGTTGGTTTTTGGCGCGAAAATGTAACCATACATATTCTTTGATAATTTTGTAGACGCTGCGATGACACGCTCCTGTTTTACTTGCCACTTTGTTTACAATTGCATCTTTAAGTCATGTTGGATTTTCTTGAGTCTCATGCTTATAAACGTCTAAAATCATTTCCTTGCTTTTTATGTCGAAATGAGACTTTTTCGACCTTTGCCTAGGAGAAGACAAATACATTTCTGTAGACTCATCAGCTGTATCCGTGCTAGACATGTTCAAGTGTCCTGGATATTTTATTTAATATACCAAACAAGTATTTAAACAATACACAAAAAGTATCGGGATATGCCCGAGGAGCAAACACACTGTTATTTAATATACTTCTAAAGTATTTAAATAAAACACAATATTCAAACTACAAGGTAACGGTATTTAAAAAGATTCAATTCAAACAACACATTTAACGACGATGCATTACGCACTGAATCTGAGTACGCATCTGCATCAAAACAGTAAAGAGCAGCTCTAGCAGTTTATGGCCGTTTGACCAATAGCATTGCAGATTCCAGTAAGCCACGAGGCGATCACGTGCTGATCATTGTTTACATGCGCTGAATCTCGGATTGGAATAGACTTTAGATGTCAATTTTATTTTAACACATAGATGTATTTTAATTTCAGAAATTATGTATAATAATGTTTTTAATTTTGAATTTAAATATCTACACTAGCAGTAACGCCACTGGGTATTTTTTAGGGTCTTGGACTCATGTGGAAAATCGAAATGGATATTTGGAGACGGTGTTTGCTCGGTCAAGATGGAAATTCCATTGGGAGATTGTAATTATCATGGATCCCTGAGTTTGTTTTCCTCTAATTTTTCCGGATGCCAACCGAATTAAAACGAAAGCAATTTTGAATTTTCTTTTATTCAT